GCCAGCACAGGATGTCTTTGGAGCCGGGGGCAGGTGCCGACGCTGGCAGGAGAGGCCTCAGGAAGCCATGTCCATTCAGCATCGAGGACATCCTCTCCAGCCCGGCAGAGAAGAGCCCCCCGGTCCTGGTCCCACTCTGCCTCAGGAGCATCTTGGACTGCACACCCAAAGGGCTGTGTGAGCTGGAGACCATCCCGGCCAGCTCCCTGCAGGAGGAAGAGGAGGAAGAGGAAGAGCTGGAAGGGGCAGGCTGCAACTGCTGCTGCTGTGCTCACACGAGTGCCCGTTCCCTGCCGGACTCGCCAAGCTGGCTGGGTGAGTGTTTGGGTTTGGTTCCAGGTGTACGGCTTGTGGAGGAGCTGGTGCCAGGGCTGGGCAGAGGGGAAAACCTGGGCATTGAGTGACAATACAGCATCTGCCCTGTCACCACAGTGGCCTCAGACCCCAGCTCCAGCGAGCTGAGCCCCATTCTCAGCATGGCCCCCAAGAGCAGGCACCTTTACCTGCAATGCTACCAGGGTTTTTAAAGCAGCAGCAGGTGCCATTTATTACTGGGTATTACTGGTTTAGTGTAAAACGCTCAAAAGGATGATGCTTCCAGGTGTGGAAGTTCTCTGTGGAGTGTAGGGGCCCATGGTCATGCTGCCCATTTGCAGAGCTGTGCCTGTGCTTCCTGACCACATGGGCCCTGGGGAACCTCATTTGTCCTTTAATGAAAAGAGGTTTTGGATACATCTAGCAAAACTGCTGCATCTGGGGGGGTGGGGGGAAGGAAAGAAGTAGCAAATCCTTAAAAGTGCCACTCAGGAGCATCCTGAAAGTTCAGAAGTCCTGTGTCAGGACTGAAACATAGCTCTTGCCAGGCTACAAGTTTCCATCCATTTCCTGGTGCTGGCCATAGTGAAAATGGTAAAAAACCAAGGAAAACAAAGCACTGCTCCCCACCCACCCACTTCTCCCAGAGTGATGCCCTAAGCCCTTCTCTCGCCTGCGTGGTGGCCATGCAGCTCCTCACCCACGCCAGCTGGCCGGCCGCCTCCTTCCAAACACCACGCGGGGGTCGTGGGGGTCGCGGGGATGCAACCTGTGCCTGAGCTGCCCTGAGCAGGACGGGCGCGTGTGCCCCAGCCCTAACGCTGCCGCTGTGCCTTTCCCCTGCAGACGCCCGGTTCCCCTGGCCCATGCGGCTCCTGCACTCGGCAGTCAGGGTGTGTAAGGGTCCCGCAGGGGACCCGAGCGAGCTGCAGACCTTCCACCAGATCCAGCGGCGGACGCGCCGGCATCGCACCATATTCACCGAGGAGCAGCTGCAGGCCCTGGAGACACTTTTCCACCAGAACCAGTACCCGGACGTCATCACCCGCGAGCACCTGGCAAACCGCATTCACCTGAAGGAGGAGAGGGTCGAGGTGAGATCCAGCCACCCGGCGAGGTGCTGTTCACTGCAGCCCCCTGGGAGCACAGACCAGGGCACGGAGCTGCAGACACAGGGCCTCATGTCAAAAACTGTTTTTGGGTATTCCAAAAAATGCAGTTTAGGTTTGGCAAGCAATGGAAGAGTGTAAACCAGTTCTGCTGGCCTGATCTGTTCTAGGATCTGCTCCCATAAACTCACACACTCTGTGTCTCCTAGAATCATCTATATATACACACAAACGTGTCCAATTCTGCTCATCCCCTGCACGCAAACATATATTCCTGATTTATGGGATCTTTATGATTTCTGAATTTGCTGGGGAGGGAGTGTCATCCTGAGCAAGACTGCAGGGAAGGGACTGATTAAATGTTGCATCCAAATTTTATATTGGGAAACGTATTGCAGTAGCCTACAACCTACACTGCACAGTCCAGAAGTGTACCTACCTGCCCTCCTCCAACTCACACATGAAATGCAAAAGTTCTCTTGTTTTGCACTTTCTAGGTGTGGTTTAAAAATCGGCGGGCCAAGTGGCGGCACCAGAAGAGGGCATCTGCTTCAGCACTGATCCTTCAAGGCACCAAGAAGCCCTCTCAGGAGAGCTGTTAGTGGCCACAAGCCACATCTCAGCACGTGAATGCCAAGAGTATGCACTTCCCGTAGCTGACAGGTTCTGTAGAGGGTAACCTCGGGGGGGGATGTTAATGAAGCAAAAGAGAATCTCTGTGATTCCCAGAGGAGGAGAACAGGGAAAAGCAGTATAGCACTTCCACGTCCCAGTTTCGCTTCCAAACCCAGTTCACGTGTCAAATAACTCAGCAGGCATGACTCTCAGACAGACTTTCAAGCAGAAACCACTGCCACAGTCCCGCGCAGGGGCTGAGCTGTGCCGGTGTTGGGTGTGTGCTCAAGAGAAGGGCACACTGCCGTCTGCCTTTGCTCTGTGCAGGTAGAACTCGTGCGTGTTTCACTACTGTACATTTGCGACATATCCTGGAAATACATGTCTCCTA